TTCCCTTTATGAAATGCCTGGCAGTAGTCATCACCTTTTACATACTGCCCATCCCAACTCCTGTGATCACAAACATTTCCAGGTTTTGGAGACTTAGGCAAAGGGACTCTGCATCCAGGGAACTTGGTCTCTCCAGGTAAACTAGCTTTGGGTTTAAGTTCTGGATTTGCATGGTTCTGAGAGTTAAGGAACTTAAGAAAAATGTTTATCCCCAAAGTGTTACTTATTACAGATAATCAGGCCATTGTGTTTTAAATAATGTAGAGTGGCTTTGACAATTTTGGGATGCCATGTAATTGTGTGAGTAGGTTCAGTCCCCTAAGATATTTCTAGTTGCCCCAGACCTGGTTGTGTAAGAACAGTCGCACTATGCCAAGTCACTCTATGACACGGCTTTGCAAAGTCTGTGCATTGGGCGGTGGTGGATTAGATCATCTTCCTTTTTGATCAGGTTTAGTTGTACAAGTAACTCTTGTTCTGGGTGCAGACCAGTACAGTATTCACTTCAGTTGCAGGTGACCACAGCTCATCCTATCAGATTGGGTACTCAGAACAGAAGCAGCGTAATTCATTTCTTGAGAGTGTTGCCTCCCAGGAAATCTAATTGGAATAATCTAATAAAAAGCTAAGCTCTGGGTGATGTGTGACAACAGGCAAAGGCTCTCATGCCCTGTTGTTGTTCTGCTCCCTGAAAGGGTCTTAGAGCCTGAAATTTTGCCAGCCTTTTGATAACAAGTTGAGGCTTAATATAAGGAGTTGGGAGTTAATATACTGTCAAGTGGCATTCAGATCTTGAGAGCAATAATTACAAGCGACTCCCATTCTTTTTCATTTCTTTTTTTTTGTTCTTTTGATGATCAAGTTTAATAAGGACTACTTGTGGTCTAGCTTTATACTTGGTTACTCTTATGATATGTTTGTCTTGTGCAATTTTTTTCAAATAGCAGCAGCAGAATTGAGCATGTGCTGCGCATTTACAGTAACATTATATATTAAAGGTATTTTTCAAGCAGTTAAAATATTTTATATAATAACATAAGGACTAATGCATTTTCAGGAACAATGTTAATCTTTGTACAGAATTATTCCCATGGAGAGATCTCAATGTGATTTATAGATTATTAGGATAATTTGTATTTCACAAATGGGGGAACCTGAGCTATTGTAAAGGTAAGTGTGTTGCCCAAAGAAATGCATCCAAGTCAGTGGCAGATCATGGTTCATGGCTCCTGACCTCCAGTTCTGTGCCCTTTGATACAAGCACAGCTGTAGAAATCTGTTGAAAATGCCAAGCAGGAAAACATTCTGCTAGAGTAAGCGGGTGTTCTTTCCAGTATCCTTTTATCCAAGTAGGTCTCTTTTTCCATAGTTTCATAGTTGGTAGGGTCAGAAGGGACCTGAGTAGATCATCAAGACTGACCCCCTGCCATGGCAGGAAAGAGTACTGGGGTTAAACGACCCCGGCAAGGTGTTCATCTAGCCTCCTCTTAAAGACCCCCAGGGTAGGAGCCAGCACCACTTCTCTTGCAAGTTGGTTCCAGATCCTAGCCACCCTGACAGTGAAGTAGTGCCTCCTGATGTCTAGTCTGAATCTACCCTCTGTCAGCTTGTGACCCACTCTCTGGTTGCGACCCTCCAGCCAGTTAGTGACCCAATTGACTGTGTAGGTGTCAATGCCACAGTCCCCTAGTTTTTTAATGAGAATGGGGTGAGAGATAGTGTCGAAGGCCTTCCTAAAGTCCAGAAGGACTACATCCACTGCTATACCTGCGTCTAAGGATTTTGTGATCTGATCATAGAAGGCCGCCAGGTTGGTCTGACAGGACCTGCCTCTAATGAGCCCATGTTGGTTGCTCCTAAGCATAATCTTCCCTGCTGGCCCTTTACAGACATGCGCCAGGATAATTCTCTCAAAAAGCTTACCCAGGATTGAGGTAAGACTAACTGGCCTATAATTTCCTGGGTGGTCCTTCCTCCCTTTTTTGAAAATGGGAACCAAATTGGCCCTTTTCCAGTCCTCTGGCACCACACCAGAGCGCCACGAGTGCTCGTAAAGCTGTGTCGGGGTCCTGCAATGATCTCTGCTAATTCCCTCAGCACTCTGGGGTGGAGATGGTCAGGCCCTTCTGATTTATATATGTCCAGTCCCTCCAGAAGTTCCCTGACTAGATCCTCACTGACCCTACGCCTGGGTGCGCCTCCCCTGGGGCCTATGGTGGTCCCGGGGGGGTGGGGGGAGGTGGGGGCCGTGACTCGGTCCCTGCTCAGAAAAATGGAGGCAAAGAAATTGTTAAATAGGTTAGTTTTGTCGTCTGGTGTGACGACTAGATTTCCTAGCGTGTCTTGCAGAGGCCCCACGTTACCCGGTACCTTCGTTTTGCCCCCTCTGTATTTAAAAAAGGACTTCTTGTTGTCCTTGATCCGGGTAGCTAGTCCCAGTTCCATCTCCACCTTGGCCTTCCTGACCACCCCCTGCAGCCCTGAGCAACCGAGGTATAGTCCTCCCTGAGGATGGCCCCTCCCTTCCGTTGGGTATACTCCTCCCTTTTAGCCAGGAGACATTCCTGTCTGCTTTTGGTGAGCCATGGGGGCTTTTGCGTCCTCTTGCCCCCTTTGATCTGTGTTGGGATTACCTCCCTTTGGGCTTGGAGGATCGTCTCTTTAAGGAATGACCACTCTTCTTGGACTCCCAACTCCCCTCCCCTCTGGGACCTGAGTGCCTCCCCGACTATTCTCCTTACCTCATTGAAGTCCGCCCTCCTGAAGTCCAGGGCTGCTGCCTTGCTGCAGGCCTTTGCCACCTTTCACTGGATGGTGAATTCCAGCAGGCGATGATCACTGTTGCCTAGGTGGTCGAGCACCTGCAGACCCCTCACCAGGTCGTCGCCCGTGGCCAGGACCAGGTCCAACAAGCCGTCTCCCCTGGTGGAGCTCTGCACTTCCTGGGTTTGATGGAGGTCCTGTATCTTGTCTAGGAACCTATGTGAGCAGTCAGACCTGGCTGACTGCTCTTCCCAGCAGATGTCTGGAAAGTTCAGGTCACCCGTGATGACCATGTTCTTTGACCTAACTACCTCTGTGAACTGACTTAAGAATTCCTGGTCTAGCTCTTCCCCTTGGTTGGGAGGTCTATAGTAGACCCCCCACCGTTAAGTCCCTTTCTCTCGACTTCCTTGTATTCTAACCCAGAGCACTTCAGTGTGCCCCTCCTCTGACCATGTGCTACTTGTTGAGGATGTGTGTCTCTCCTTACGTAGAGCGCCACACCCCCACCTTTCCTCCCTGTCCTATCCCTCCTGTGCAGCCTATAGCCCTTGATAGTCACTGCCCAGTCATGCGTTGGGTCCCACCACGTTTCTGTGAGCTCCACTATGTCTGGGTCAGTGTCAGCTAGCAGGAGGGCAAGTTCCTCCTGCTTGTTCCCCATACTATGAGCATTTGTGTAGAGGCATTTGAGGCCTCCTGAAGATGCATGCGCTGCCCCCTGAACTCAGTACTGCCTGGGCCCCTGTTGCTTACCTGGGTATTTGTTCTGCTCGTCATTGATTCAGGCTGTGCTGTTCTTGTGGGTGACACTTGGTTTAGTGGTCCAAGGCTTCCTCCGCCCTCGTCTTCCCCTTCCCCCGATGAGCCTAGTTTTAAAGCCTACTGGAGGAGATGCGCCAACCTAGAAGAGAACACGCTTACCTTTGGGGGAAAGGTGGAGCCCATCCCACCCGAGCATGTCTCTCGTCGTGATGTGTGGGTCATTGTCTAGGAAGCCGAAGCCTGCCTCGAGACACCATTCCCGAAGCCGCCAGATGATCTCTCTGATGCGGGTCTCATGTCGTCTTCCACGTCCGCTCACTGGTAGGACAGAAGAGAATAACACCTGTGCCCCTATCTCCCTCAGCACACCCCCCAGAGCATGGTAGTCCATCATCAGGTGATCAGGGCTTCTCCTGGCCCCATCATGTTCTTGGCTTTCTGCCACCATGTTCTTGGTCAGACAAAGCAATCCAGCCCAGGAAGTAGGATACCCTGTAAAAGAGGATGTGGGAGCACTCCCTGGGTCAGGAAGATGAGAAATTGCAGCAGAGTACTTCTGTTTTCAGTATACTCCAAACTCTGCCTAGTGAAACCGATGGAAAGGGTGAGGACAATGCAATTTTGAAAGTGCAAGAAAAATCAAGAAATTTGGCAATCCATTTACCAAGACGATATCTTTTATGCAGAGTTGAATATTTTGTTGCACTGTTGCAGTACTTTGTCCTATGGAAGAGAGAAGCAACTTCCAAATAATATGTTTTTATTATTAGTTTTTCTATGTACAGATTCCAGCATTGCACAAAAGTTTCAAAGGGTGCACAAAGACCAGGTATAGGTATCTTTGGCAAACATTTGCCATAGATAAAGTATCTCCGTTGCCTGGCTTTTTGTACCTTACGAATTCACTGTTAGATACTAACTTCTCCTTTACTGACATCTCCCTACTTGGACGTAATACACTGTAACCTCTGTAGTATGGTGTAAAATATGCTTTCATACTAGAGGACAAAGATTTCTCTAATACTTTTTTTTATATGTAGAACTATTTTGGGAATTTTTTTTTTTTAAGTTATCTGTGTTTGCATTTCTGTCTCATTTTGTGCAAGGCTTTTCTTAACTACGAGTGCCAGCAGACGTAGAAAAAAATAACACGCTTTACTGGAAGCAGCAATGCATCACTTTGACTGACCCAGTCCTGCAGCATCTGTATAGATTGGGCACTTCAGTGGGGCTTTTTGGCGCTTTTGTCTAATAGCTGATTCAATCAGCTATTAGATAAAAGCACCAAAAAAGCCCCACTAAAGTGCCTTGTCTGTACAGAAGTTGGGTGAGCTAATGGGTCCAGCTAAAGTATGCCTCTTCTGGGTATGAGCTAGGCTCAGCATGGGGGCGTACGCAGTTTAAAGTGCCATCCTCCCTCCCCCCCCCAACATCTGCAGGCAGCCTGCTTGTTTCAACATGTTACAGATACTTTGTCTTTCTCTCTCAAATCCCTTCCTTTTAATCCTTTATTTTTTTTAAAGGAAATGGGAACAGAAAAGGGCAAAATGCATGAGAGCTGTGGAAAAACTGGTCCTGCCTTTGGAGCATACTTATCTCTTCATGTCTTGGTTCACATCTGTTTAAGTTATCTGTTTTTAGCTTTTTGTTTCCCTGGCAATGAAAGCAAACATCATACTACAGTAACTTCTAACAATAACTCCCTGTTCCTGTGTTCTGCTGCTCTGAGCTGGTCTAGGCGATTCACATAAAATCATTCTCTGTAACCAGTCATATTTCATGTGGCTATTATCTGTAAAATAATTATGTATTTCTGATATCCTTGTGCCCTACAAGTCCATTATTGTGTACATATATAGGCACTCTGATGATATCCGGTTCTAACACTAATTCTGTGCAATATAAATTCTGTGAAAAGCTGAAAATATACATACCGATGGCCATGGCAATATTCCTTAGATCTAAATATCATACAGTTAAAATATTCAACAAAAGAAAGCCCCAGGAAGTTTGAAAATACCAGTGCCTTTCTTGCTACTGGATAGTTGAAGTCTTTTCTCATGTAGCTCCCAATTAAGATTTTAAAACTTAGGTAGAAAACAAATTCTGAAATGAATGGTACAAGTTTTCAGTTGGGTGAGCAGGTAAGTCAGTTTAGCAAATTCTTAGCTGCCAGGCCCGATACTCACAAACGAGAGAGAGCACCCGTTTCCCAGCCACTTTCTCGGCTTGCTCAGTGTTATGCTTGGTGTACGAACAGCTTTCACTTCTACCTATGAATTTCCTGGCTTTTGTGGAAGCAATTTACACTTGAAAAGGTCTCCTTTTAAGGTGTGTTGATAGATCATATACTGCGCCTTAAGATTTATGCTACTTATGCTGTCTTCTGGTGATTTCCAGCTGGACTTCACACACCACGTAAAAATTTTAGGATGATGAAATGTGTGGAGGGAATGAATTTGTAAAAGACTGAGGGGGAAGCTCATGAACAGTTTAGAGCAGTGCTGTCTGCAAGGCACAAGATTGTACTAGGGAAGAACACAAAGTAGGAGGGGGAGGTTTCTTCTACCTGGAAACTAAGAGCAACGGATGTCACCAAATAAAAACGAAAATGGAGTTTAACTGTGCAACTGCCTGACTTGGCATTCAGCCAAGTAGGACTGAGCAGTGCTTGCTCCTAATTAGTCAGAAGCACCAGTATAAAGCAGTGCCCCCCATGTACACTCCCATAAATCATATAGGAATGAACACCTGTCTCCGTAGGGACCATGCTGAAGGAGTTCTCTGTGAAAAAGTTCAGTTTGAAAGCTGTACCTTAAATTTGGTATTTCTGCAAAACACTGAATAGATTAAGCCATTTTCATTACCACCATTTCTAGCAGACTTCATTTGTTTGGCCAAGCCTACGGATTATATCATTTGGGTTTGACCCACCCAGATTTGCTGCTTCCGTGTTGCTTTTGGTATGCCATGCTGAATTGGCTTGACTGGAACCAATGCCTTCTGTCAATAGCTAAGAGCAAGTGATGTCTCCAAAATTTTAAAGTACGGCTTGGTAGCTTGGCTAACTGGAAGGAGCCTGTAAGAATATTTAAGTAGTCCATCAAGAATGCCAGAAATCTTGCATAAAGCTACAGTGACTTTAAACCAAGGTTAGGAACATAGCTGAGTATCTGCTGTTTAGGAGTCCACCTCACAAAACCATGCAATTGTTTCATATATTGCTACGTTTGGCCATGTTTTGAAATAATGTAGGTGATGTCACCTTTGGTGATTTTTGCAGAATGATGAGGAATGTTACACCACTTCTGTGTGCTTGCACGTTGTACCTGATGTTCACCTCTGTAACTGCTAAACCCCCGAGGGTTAGGTGTTAAGTACAGGTGTAGCAGAAAGCTCTGACCAGAGATGCTTGCTTACATACTATTCTGAGGGATGCAATACAAGCACGATGACTGACACTTACATCTTGACTTTCACTAGTGGTGATTGTTCATTCTCCACTTCTTTATTTTTTTATTTTTAAAGTCTGAATGAGGATGGGTAGCAAGTGGCAAAGACACTAGAGGAACTGCTTTTTATAAATGGTTTTAATGTACTATAAATAACAGTTACTCTGAATTTAGGGGAGAATTAGCTAACTACCTGACCACCATTCAGGCCTGATTTGTAACTTGTTCATTTAATTTGAAATTTCAAGCAGTTTGTTTTTTGTGGTCAGGCTTTACCAGCGTGAAACTTTTTGTCTTTCAGTAATCATCTGGGGAAGAGCCTGCAGTTGCTCATGGACAGAGTGGATGAGATGAGCCAAGATATAGTTAAATACAACACCTACCTGAGGAACGTTAGCAAACAGCAGCAGCAAAAACACCAGGTTGGTGAGAAGGAAAGGCTGGGTCAGGGTGGGGGTCATCCCTTTGCTGCGCCCCCATGAAGATGACATATCATGCAAAGTTACATTTACAACAGCCAAACTACATTTTGCTGATTCTTAAAAACATGTTGTGGGGCTCCATATGGTCTTCATCCCACCTGCAGCAGCTGTGGCTCATGTGGGCAGTGGCAGTGAGTCCAACCCTAGCATGGGCTGGAGGGAAGAAGAGAGGATGCTAGTGGCACCGCCCTGCCCTAGGTTGGGGGTCCTGTGCTGCACTGGGTGGCCTGGGCTGCCTTCCTCCCCATGCCCCTCCCCCCCAACCCCTGGAGCACCGTCTCCCACCCCACCTGTGCTCCTGAGAGCATGGGCACTGGCCCTTGGGACCACTGGCCCAGTCACACAGCTCCCCGCCATTCCCAAAGGACCCTCCAGACCCCTTCCCCAGCTGGAGGGGCAGGCATCTCTGGCTAGGCCATGCTGGAAACAACATAAAGCTGGGCTCACCAGTGACACCAAGCCCTGCCTCAGACCCCCTTCCCCTGGCACAACCCTGGCCCCCAGACACCTTACTCCAGCACCAGGAGGCACTCACACTCATGTGCGCACTTGCACACACATACACACATCCTACACAGCCCCATGGACAGTCCCCAACACCTGGCCCTCGCTCCATCCCCTCGGTCCCACAGTTACCTGTATCCAGCTGCTGAGACTGTATTGCCGGTCACAATTGTTTCCCCCTGCTTCTGATCACCCTCTCCCCGCAGCCCCGAGCAGTTCCTTGCAGTCTGGAACTCTAGCAGCCTGCAAGGCAAAACCTGTAGTTTCCCACTTCAAAGGAGAAAAGTCACACTTTTCTTCTTTAAAGAGGAAAATCCACATTTTTTCTCAGGAAACGGAAAACCCAGATCTGTGCTTGTTATCAGCCAAACCTTTGCTTGTAATGCAGCACTAGAGCTACAAGGGCTAGTGCAATCTGTGGGATGTTTAGACTGGAAAATGTTGAAGGGGAAGGTTATACGACTAATGTATTTGGCATGAGAGCAGCTGTTGCAAGAATACTGTGTCCATTTTGGTTGTCAACAGTTGAAGGTTTGCTCATAAGAGCATTCAGAAATGATGCATAAGAATGATTTAATGGATTGGCAATGATAGTACAGTAAGACTCAATCTCTGTGGCTTAATGAAGAAGGTTGAGAAGTGACATGATCATAGTCTGTTGTTACCTATATGGAGGATAGGTTTGATAGGGCTAATTGTCTAATTGTCAGTCTAATTGTCAAAGTTAACATAAGATCCAGTGCTAGAAGCAAAAGCTAGATATATTCAGGCTACAAGTTAGGTAGATTGTTTTAATAGTGAGGGTAATTGAGGGTCATTGTAAAAATTTAGCAAGAGCTGTGGTGGCTACCTTATGATCAAATTCCATGGGTTTTTTTTTTTTAATGTTAACGTAGTTCAAACGAGATAAAAATTCTGCATTAAATGATCACAGCAGTCCCTCTGGCTTTATACATTTCAATAACTTTCTGAATGTTAATTATTAACATATGAATTTCTTTATAAATCAAACATGTTATTGCAAACTTTTTTTGCTACATATATCTACCCACCTAAAAGAGAGCGCACCCTGCATTCACTTTGCACTGTCAAGGTTACATGAACAACGCAGAGATTCTCTGCATTTATTTGGAAAAGCAGAGTGAAGTAAGTTCTAGGGTGTCACACCTCATTTCTTTACTAACTATAATTACTTTGTTAGTGGCTCATTGCAGCATAGTTATCACTCTTAACTTCATTTAAAAATGGAGCAATTGCGATCAAGTGCAAGCAGTTTTTATCGAAACAATAGACCAACTGCTGCAAAGTGGATGGTGTAATGCAAAGAAAAAAGAAAATCACCTGAATGTTCACAAACCGATATGGATGTTTAACTTTTTTTTCAACACTGCCTGAAGGCTGCACTTGTCACTGTTGCTGAAAGATTGTTGACTGCATTTCAGTATGCTATCAAGTATGAAATGTTTTCATACACTTGTGCACCAATACTCTGAAGTGATTTAAAATATCCTGTGTGACTCTTGGCCTTCAGATTTAAAAGTCTTTTTTCTATAATGAGTTTACATCAGCAAGCCAGAGCCTCAGGTTTATATCGTTACAGTCCACACACATCTAATCTTCACACTTTTTCCATGTGAGGTACAGTACGAAATGTAGTAATTTTTTAGAACATCTATGTATCATTTAAAAATATAACTGTTCTTTATGGGTTAGTTTAAGCATCATTTTTGTAAAAACAAATGTTCAGGTAGAAAATGAAAAAAATGGTCTGGAGTTATAGTATTTAAATGTTAGAAAAACAGCATTGATAGGGACAGTACTGAGAACATGCTTTAAATGCTTTTTAAAATAAATTAATCCCAAAAAGGTACCTTGTATTTTAATTCATCCTTCTAGTTGCCCATATGGTGATGGTATCCAAGTGGTAACCCACAAGCATCTTATTTTGGGACATATTGATCTATGATAATTTCTTCCAGTCACTTCTCTGTATTAAAAAGGGTTGGTTTTTTTTTTTTGGTTTTTTTGTTTTTTTGTTTTTTTTACCCCTATCCTATTATTGCAATACTGTGTTGACCTGGGACTTGGATAAAAACTTAGAAATTTTGACTTGCTCTAAACTACTTGAGGCAAGCCTCTTGTACACATTGATTCTAGCCATGTTTTTGACTGGGAAAATTGAGTCATGCACCATGCTGTTCTTTCTATCAAACGTATTGCTGACTAAGCTGCAGGAAAAAATGAGCTTTAAACACGAAGAAAAGTAAAGAAACTCCTTCATACAGCATAACATTGCAGTATATCCTTCCTCTTGTAAAAGTCCCTACTCCAAGGCAAAGACGACTCCCCCACCTTGCCTTCTTTGTTTTGTATTAATGCCCCCCCCACACACACACACACACACACCCCACACACACACACCTGTTTGATAGCTGAGCATGGCTAAGTACGTAATAGAGCTGATTTGGGCTTGGACCAGTGGCCCCCAAACTAGCATTTTATAACTCTTTTTGCAATTGAGAGGTAGTTAGCTGTGTTAATCTGAAGCCAGGTAGAGATGCACCTTATAGACTAAGTAGGATAGATATAGAGCACAAGCTTCTGTGAACTCGAGGGCTAGGGACAGAAGTTGCACATAAACTGGTTTAAGTGATCAGAAACTGGTTTAAACCAGTAACAGAACAGAAGTTCAGTGCTCATAAACTGCTTTCAAAATGGCTAAAATCAGTTTAAGATGAACTTGGTTGGATATAGTATCAGACTTAACTGATTTAGGTCAAACCAGTTTATGGCACATCTTTCCCAGATCCCTTCCTGGTTCAAGTTAACTCAGTCTCCCAGCATCCCAGGATGCTTTGACGCCCTGGGCTGTGCTGCCTCAACTTAGCCCGCTTCCTACCTGTGTCTGTCAGCCCATAGGGATGGGGGGGCAGGGGAACAGCCCCCTAGCCAGGGTCTACACAGCACATGGGGGGTGGGAAAGCCCTTGTGGTGAGGACTTTTCAGATCCTGGCAGCCCTCTCTCCTCCTCCCTCCCTTTCCCCATCTGCTCACTGCTTCAATGGCTGCCACAGAAGGGAGGGAAAAGGAGTCCTCCCTGCCGGGTACCTGCCCCTGCAGCCCAACATGGGGGTACCAGAAAGCCCCTGCCTTGGGGGGCTACCCCCCACCCCAGCCCAGGGCAGCCCCAAGGAGCTGCAGAAATTTTTCCCCCTCCTGAACCTTGCCTTAGCCGCTGTGAGTCTTGGGCAGCTTCAGGGAGTGGTAGGAAATTCTCCTCCTCCACAGCCAGTTTTGCCATGGCTGTTGTGAGTCTGAGGCAGAACTAATGTAGGGGAGCAAAGGCATTTCCCTCTGCTCCTGGGCTACCCCTGACACTCACAGCAGCTAAGGCGAGAGGTTGGGGCTGGGAAGAATTCCCCTGAGCTCCCTGGGGCTCCCCAGTGCCCCCATGCTGGGCTGCAGGGCCAGGCACTCAGCCAGGAGGATGACTTCTCCCTCCCTCCTGTGGCAGCAGCTGAAGCAGTCAGCAGCTGGGAAGTGGGGGGCAGGGGTTCCCATCAGCTGCCCAGGGCTGCCTGGCCTGGGGAAAATCTCCTGAGTGGGAGGCTCCCCCAAGGTGGGCTAGCACCTGGACAGGGGGCTCCTGAACCCCCTGTAGGGACACAGCAGGAGGCTGGGGACACTTGGCTGGGCTGGCAATGGCCAGCAGACTGAGAGATGTGCTCCCAATGCCCCCCGCCTACCGGCCTGGGTCAGTGCAAACCTCCCCCTCCCTTTCCCAATTAAAAACTGAATGTCAGTTCAGTTGCTTTTTGGTTCAACCTACGCAGCTTAGAGGAAGCTGCCTAGATTGAATTGATTCAGCCTGAGGCCTGTCTGTACTTAGCCAAGTACAGACAGGTGCTGTGAAAGATTGCTTGTTGCAAGTCTTATGGAGCACCTGATTTTCCCCCAAGCTCCCAGTTTTTCTGTGAGCCCTAGATTGAAGAGGTCAGGTTTTACTGAGCCTTAGTTATTTTGCAGTAACTGTGCCTATGCCTTCAGTTCCCCCTGCAGTGAGTGCTAAACCAGAACAGCTTACTGCTGTTTGAAACAGGGTTACATTGCCCCAGTTAGTTTTCACTTACCGAGGGGAAAAAGTGGGTACACAAACCATTTTTATGCCCACAGTTAATAGGAGATGGGGACTTACTGTACCATAGCTGTTTTGCCATAGTTATTCAGTATGTTTGCTCTTGCTCTGTGGCAAGTGAAAGCTAAATGAAAACTCGCCGTTTCATTTAGGCATAAGCTAAATAAGCTTCCCTGTTTAGCTCTCATTGTTACCATGGAAAAGAGGAAGTACAATAGATCTCCACATCTTGTTAACTGTGAGATGTGAACATTGATAATTGTGCATATTATATAAAATAATATGTGGAGTTCTAATTGTGAAGTTGGGAACTACCAATTCAGACTTTTTAGACACTGGGGTTGCTTACAGACGTAAAAAAAAACAAAAAAACAAACAAACACCCAAAAAAGAAAAATGGTGCTTTGCTTTACTTTAAGTTCTGCATGCCCCCGTGCCGAGGCCATCACATGCCCAGAAGAGGTATTACATTAGTTGGACCTGGTTTGGCCACCATCTGTATAGATCAGGTGCTTTAGTCAGGATTTTTTGGTGCTTTTATCTAATAGCTGATTGAATAGGCTTTAGATAAAAGCACCAAAAAGCCCTGCTAAAGCGCCTGATTTACACAGATGCTGTAGAGCCGGATCAAGTAATGTGCTGCTACTTCTGGTAAAATGCATTTGTTTGTTTGTCTTGTTCTGTTTTGTTTTTTCATGTCTGTCAGCAGCCTGGTTTGGTAAAATAAAATCCATGTACTAGTAATTATACTTTATTTATTTATTTATTTATTTATTTATTTATTTTTCAGGCTGCATTTAGAAGCTTCTCTCTTAGCTATAGTAGTGTCTAGTTATTCTTTTTTAAAACCTGTTCTTTTTTTGCTTTGTTTTCAGTACCAACAGAGACGTCAGCAAGAGAATTTACAGCGACAGAGTCGAGGAGAGACACCTCTTCCTGAGGAGGATATCAACAAAATATTCAAGCCACTGCAGCCCCCTGCCAGGATGGAGTCGTTGCTTATTGCAGGTGAAAGAGATTTCCAGAATCATTACTTCTTAAGTCATTCCTTCACATACTATCTAGCCAGGAGAAAAATAGAGGTGTTGCCCTTTAATAATGTCTGTTCTACGTATACATCATATTAGTACGGGATGCCTCAGCGTTTTTACTGTTCCGTACCTCTTTCTTTACTCTAGTTTAGGGAAATGGGGAGTCCCCTGTGGTTCAGTGGTAGAATCTTTGCGTACTGCACAGGAGACCTGGGTTTGATTCCTAGATGCTTATATAACTACAGCCATGCAGGTACCAAACATCTGGACTCAGTCTGGTTTTTCAATTCTGTCTCAATGGCCTAAAGGGCAGATGGAAGGTCTGGGCAGCCTCCACAACTTCAAAAATTTCTGTCGAGGCATATGCATGATCCAGGAGGATTGGGGTTGCTATATTAGGAAAATGCCTAAGGAGTATTATAGATGCCAATAAAAAAAAACAAACAAGAAGGTAATTTACATAATGGGCAACCACTGAACCAAAATGGTGACAAAGCTAGTGGAAAGCAAAAACTTTTCATATGACACACATTTTTGGGAACCGTGTACTTTGGTGTCATCTTCAGATTAATTGGAAGAATAGTTCCATTGGATGTGACCAGATGGAGCTGTGGATGAGGAACAACACCTTTTATTTCTCCAATTCCTGTCGCAGGGTGCCTGAAAAGGACCGATGACAGAGCATAGGTTTCTTCAACACATTCACCTTTTCATGGCCTCCTCTCCGGACCTTGAATTCAGCTCTTCTGCCATTTCCTGTGCTTGGGTGGGTGCACAGAGTGGACACTAGAGGCAGTGTAGGGGCAGTTGCAGAGTAGAGGTTTAGGATCTTAGTGTCCCCACAGAATATTGAGTAGGGTGGGGCATGATGAGAAAATAAATATTTAATTTTAGGATTATTTTATTTGAGTTTTTTTCAGTGGAAGCAGTTAATACTTGAATCAGCCTTTGGAAGACAGTGAAGGTTCTGGGAATAATACAGCAAATTATTTCACCATTTGAAAATATTTTGAGAGCTGTTTATAACATGAACAGGGGTAATTGCAAAGTTCATATTCTAATTCAAGGAAAGGGATTGGTGACTAATTGATTACAAAACTATAAAAAAGACTTGTCACTTAAAATAATGAATATACAATAAATAAGTTTCAACAAGTACATTTTTTCCATATAGTTTTAAAACAAGTCTCTTTTCTGGAGTCACTTAAAATTGAGAGTGCTATCTTAGTACAGCTTGTGTTTTATAATGAATCCTAGGAGCACAAAACTGTTTAAAAATGCATCGTAATACTTTTATGAAGCACAATAGAGGAAGGGAGCGTATGTACTTTTTATGATGGTAGATTATGGTTGTGCTGTCTTCTACAAGAAAGGAAAGTGAAAACTTTTATAATCAAAGAAAAAACAGCCTTCAGCCAAAATACTTACCTCATTTGTTCTTTTAGTTATAGTCAGGGGAAGAACTGAAGACATCCATTTCTTTAATTCAGAGGGCTTAAAGTTTGTGGATAAAGAATAAAACTTAGCTGCTTTGTCTCTGAGGCATTTAAAAACTTTTTAAGTAGAACATTAAATTGAAGTTTATTGGTCTGCTAAACAGTCTTAATTTTGATTAAGCTGACTTTATGGTTTGACATTCCCAAAAAATAACTTGTAGCAGCACTTGTATGAAAATAGTTTGATGGAGATGTTTCATTTGTATAGCACTGACAAGGCATCACACCCCAGTGGTTTTTTGAAATTTCAAATAAGGTGAAATATTTGGGGGGAAAAATGGCAAACGCTGTCAAATGGGAAAGCACCATAATTTTCAAGTCGAGAGTGTATTTATTATAAATATTTTTAATGGGAGCAGTAAATACACAAGAATTCAACTGAAATTGAGCCTTGCACTATTTTTAGGGCTGCTAATTTTGAACAAGTAATTGATGCGATTAAACCTCCAACACTACACCAACAATTGCGTATACTTTTTATGTTCCTTGGCCAACTTATTTGGAAGTTGCATATATTACAACTGAATTAAAATGATAGAATATTTAATTTTGAAATGCATACCAACTTATCTTCTCTGCTGATTTGATCTACTATTCTTTCCAAGTCTATTTGTGTATTGAAAAATTCTTTCCAGTGTCATGCTGTTTAAGTTTCTACTTTGCGGTATGTTGTGGTATGCTTTATAATGGTAAATGCTTGGGAATTCTTAAATCATGTTAAAGGACGTTCTTCAGATCAGATCTCATAATTGATGAAGGGTTTTTTGTTTTTTTTTTTTACTTTCCTGTTGACAGGTCAAATTAATACTTATGCCCAGAATATCAAGGAGTTCACTGCGCAGAACTTGGGCAAACTCTTCATGGCCCAAGCCCTCCAAGAGTACAGCAGCTAAAGAGGAAAAATCTTGTATTTGATACAATATCCAACAGAAGGAGTTCCGGTTCACACTTTTTATAGGGCTGAAGAAACTTTTCAAGCATTGTTGGCACATTGGAAAAAATGTCCCATGAAAGCTTGTGTAGAATTGTCTCCCTCTTCTAAAGAAAAATAAAAGTAAATTTGAACAAACTTTTAGTGTCTCCATATTTTTTTAGACTAAAGCTTTTTAGCCCCTGCACCATTAATTTATTCATGTTGCATGTCTTCCTGTGTTTAGTTAAAACAAGCAATAATATTGTTTAGTTTGTATTTAACCTAGAAACCAATAATAACATTTTCTACACGTGTGCAACATGGCTGACTTAACTTTGCAGAAGGCATCTTTAGACATCCTGACTCAAGTTTACAAGTATAATTTCTTTATTATTTAATTTATTTGGATTTCTTGGTGCAAGGGATATTTAGCTTGCATAACTCTTACCATAGATATTTCAGAGGCTTCATGAGCAGAACATAGACATTTCTTGTAATGCTTCACATAACTGAGGTTTAAGTACAGCACATTGATTGATTCAAATCGTTGCATAGAAATATGCCGGGTCCTCTGTGTGAGTGGATGAATGCTGTGTGTTGACCTGGTTGTTGGGATATTTACTGCAAGTCTATAATTATTTAGCTTAATAAGGGGTTGTATGGCAAAGTAGGAAAGAAAAGAATGGCTTGGGTGAATCACCCCATAGCAAACATCTGAAAGTATGAAGGGGCAATGTTTAAATGGTCATTTGAAGACATTTACCTCCTTCCAGCCAACCTACACAGTTAGATTTGCCTAGTAGTGCTGAAGCATGGGGACATAATGGACAGTAGTGATTCAAAAAGGGTTTTTCTTAAGAGGAGAAGAATACAGCTCGAGAACAGTGTTTCTGAGCTCTTTCAGGGAGGGATCTATCTGAAGTTACCTTTTTAGTCTACTGTAGGGGGAGAGAAAATCCTTAAAGAAACATGTAGACTAGGTTGAATCCTTTTTCTCTGAAAACTTCAATCCTGCTACAAGACAATATTTTGATTAAGTAGGCTGTCTTATCACTGGATGTGCCTGATGACAGACTTCTGTAGTGAAGAAACACAAGTACTGTAACTTAAACCTTTTTGGTAAAAATGGCTGATACAGGTCTCGGTTGTAACCCACGGCTCAGCTAAGTGGGAGAATTGTGGGATTCTACTCTGGGATAGGTCTGATTCCTGAGGACGTGCACTTATACCAGAAGACGAACATGGGTACAACTAGCTCTGTGACAAGCACACATCAGTAGGAAATAGATAGAGGCGGTGTACAACTTGAAATAGTATTAATAGGATAATCCAATAGGAACGCAGCATGCGGCCTGAATATTTTAACATGGGAAAAGTAGGTGGAATTATACCCAGTTTCACTGTACGGGGGCACTCAAAGTTTAATATTAAATGATTAAAATATGTGACATTTAAAGTGTGTACTAAATGTTAGTGCACTAAAGCCCCGTGAATGCTCATTAAGTAGCAAAGCAAGCCTTATTTTGCTGTACTTTAAGATGGAGGGCTTGTCCCATAGGGAAAATTTGTGCAGAGTACATGCAAACATGATTTTATAGCACATTATCTGTGCTGTGCTGTGCTCACTTTCTCTCTGGACACATTTTAGAGCAGATTAAGAGTGCCTGGATGTAGTGAAGCTTAATATGTATTAAGTCCTTAACTGTAAACTACAGTGAGTGAAGGTCACTTTAAGATTAAGGGTTTAATACACAACAAGCCAAATGTAAACTGACTATCATCTAGGGGGAGTCGGTGCTGAACAGCTAGGATGCTGAAAATTCACAACTGTTATTACAGCGCTCTAACTTCCCTACATAGACATCTCCTTAATCTTAAATGGCAGTGAACTTATGCCACTTTGCTTCTGAATGTCCCAACAGATCAACTAGCAGAAGCTAAAATAGCTGAAAGAATTTGGCTTAATCTTTAAAACAAACAAACAAACAAAAAACAATCACCTCTTGGGTAGAGACCAAGCATGGAAAGTTTCAGCCTCAAAGGTAGATGTTTTGGGAAGTTACGAGCATGTGAAAAATGGAGGTTGGAATGGAAACTTGGAGGAGGAGGTGCACCCTTAACTCTAGCAGTTGCTATAATTATGTAAATATATGCAAATTGTATGGAGCCCTCAAGCAGCTAGCAGACTGCCAATCCAGCCTTTTGCCTTGCTAAGTATGGGCACTTTGTATTTGCTGTCCATGCAATATAGTTATCTAAAACCAAAGATCTGATGAAGTATCCTGTTACAATACCACATGATTGAGTACAGTCTCCTATATAAATTATATCCAAAAATATAGAGTTAAATAGTTGCATATATTAAGCACTAAAGGCAGAATAAGCATAGGTGAAGAAACGAAGTAAAACACTGGAATAAGATGGAGAACTGAAGTGGTAAGAAGCAAGTTCTAGATGACTGGAAATAAAGGAGATTTAGACTCATAGTGGCTCAGTAGTGTAACTGACACCCATGCTGATGTTAAGCAAATGGAAATGAACATTGAAGGTAATGAGTTTAGTTAATATTGTATAGATAAAAATAATTTACAAGACTTTACGAGGATATGCAGTTTCAGTAGAGGCAGTATATGGTATGTGGTAAATACAAGTATTAAATTGAGGCAGGTCTGAGATTTGTGAAAAGAGACTTGAGAGTCAATTGCATATACGGGAAGTAAGTGAGGCCTTGCTTGAGAAGGGAGGTAAAAAAGGGGTTGCGTCTGCTTCATTCCAAAAACATTTTGGTATTGTGAGCAGTTGGCTAACAGAAAGAGGTTGCAAATGATTAATTAAATCTTATCAATCTAAAGGATGCTAAAAAACTAAGAAACCAGTATAGAAGTAATTTATATCAGGGCTGCCCAGCTGTATGGGGCTATCCAATTGGTGCCCTATGGGCTGCATGCAGTCCCTGAGAAGTTAATTTGTAGCCCCAAGGTTTCCATCCAGCTGCTGCTGCTCCCCCCTCGTTGTGGCTCCAAGCTCCCCTTCCCTCTCCTGTCTTCCACTTTCTACCCTCACCCTAGAGGGTTGTCTGGGGCACTCATGCAGCAGTACAGTAGGGGAGCCTGCAGCTAAAGCTGAGGATGAGACTGGGGCCCTGATGCATGCAGTGCAGTGGTAGGAGGGAACCACTACCAGGTGCCCTTGAGGACTAATGGCTTGTGCTTGTGTGGCTTTTAGACATCAGTTGGTGTGGCTCATGATGTGTACAGCTCCTGGTGACTTACAAGTTGGACAGCTGTATTCTATATCAAGCTCACGTGGAGTTTCACTTTCAATCTGTCTTCACTTGTGCTCCATGTTACTGAGGCAGCATCTACTCAATATTCTTTGTTGCTGAGTTTTGTTGCTGTAAGTTCTGTTCATAAGGCTAGTGCTGGTAGCTCATTGCCTATCCATAGAGTGTGTCCTTCCAGGTTCTCATCAATCAGATAAGCATTACCTTCCCCCCACCACCTGCCCTCCTTCCTCATCTGAAAACCAAGCCCTTTCAGCATGTCAGGAGCACTCAGAGTATCTTATTTATACTGAAAGCAATAATAACTTATTTCTATTGCTTATTCATTCTGTGAATGGAGGCCATCATTTCAGGTAAGGTTTTGAAGATTACATTTGACTTGCCAAAGCAGCTACTCATGCTCCTCAGTGATTGCTCAGAAGAAAAATTGCTGGGAAGAGATGGGATCCACCTGATGAAGAGAGGGAAGGGCATCTTCATAGACAGGTTGGCTAACCTAGTGATGAGGGCTTTAAACCAGGGGATGGAGACCAAAGCCCTGAGGTAAGCGGGAAACCTGGAGGAAGTGCAAGCAGGAAGGGGAGGGGTTCTCATACTTCCTGAGGAATCGGGGTAGTCGACTAGTTACCTCAGTTGCCTGTACATGAATGCACGGAGCCTAGGAAACAACCAGGAAGAATTGGAAGTCATGCACAGTCACGGAACTATGACATGTTTGGAATAACAGAGATTTGCTGGGAGCTCCTATGCCTGGAGCACTGTCATGGATGGATACAAACTGTTTAGGAAATACAGGCAGGGGAGAAAAGGAGAAGGAGTTTCACTAGAAGCCATGCTTTTCTTGACCTGCTGCTCACAAACAGGGATGAATGTAGTAGTGGATGGCAACTTGGGCAGCAGTGACCACAAGATGATTGAGTTCAGGTTCCTGAGGAAAGGATGGATGGAGAGCAGTAAGGACCCTGGATTTCAGAAAAGCAGACTTCAACTTCATACTGTTCAACATCTTCATTAATGATGTGGACACTGGAGTCAGAAGTGGACTGGCCAAGTTTGCTGATGACACCAAACTTTGGGGCAAAGCATCCACACCAGAAGACAGGCAGGTTATCCAGGCTGACCTGGACAGGCTCAGCAAGTGGGCGGATGAGAA